GGATATTGCCATTTATTCTAGATACATATAACTTTGTTAATTTATTTCAAGATCATTTTAAGTATTTCAAGTCCTTGAAGTATTCACTTATATTGGCCACATTGTATATAGAAATATATATGTTATAGCTATATATATATGTATATGCAAATATACATATGTAGAAATACTTAAAGTACTACTATGATCATTTACCCTCAGCGGTACCAGCCTGTTTCCAACCCTAATGTCAGTATCCAAGGGATGATCTGACATTCCTTACAGTTATATCATATCTTATTAAATTCCACCTATCTCTATTCTGTCAAAACCTTATTGGGTCCTGATTCTGCTATCAAGCATATTGACTGTTACTTCCAGCTGTGTGTCAGCAGAAAGTTCAGTTTCTGTTGATAAGCATTATGTTCATGTCTTTAAGCCATTTAATAAAGATGATAAACAAGAAAAAACAGACAAAAGAATCTTGCAGCTGAAAATTCATACAGCCCTCCTCGTTGATTTTAATACTTTAATTAGGTGTTCGGTCACACAATTTTACTAGCATCTGGCTCATATTTTTGTATTTTTCTTCAAAATTACTGTGCAGACCCTGTCAGCTGCCTTGTTGACATCCTGGTAAATCATGTACCTCATATTTTCTTATTTCTGCCTAGTAATCTTTTACATAGACATGAATGGAATTAATCTGACATGATGTATTTTGTGGCCCATGAAATAACTGTTTAGAGTAGGAAGAAATCTTGCTACACCAATTGCTCCAATCAGGAAAGACTAGTACTATATGCTACATGAAACAGCATTTGCATATGGGAGGCTTTTTATGTATGGGTAGAGAGAAAAGGTAACATTTTTCAAGGTCATACTCCATATTTCATTTTTTACTAATGAGATAATTAATTTATTCCTATTTCCAAAGAATCATAAGAGATAGCTGTTTTGTTAAAGACTTAATGGAGCTGGGTATGGGGGCAGGTTTTTGTAATCTAAGCACCTGGGAGGTGAGGATAAGAGGATCAGCAGTTCATGGTAATCCTTTACTACATAGATTGAGGCAAGCTTGCTCTATAGGAGACCCTCTAAAAATCAATCAATCAATCAATCAATCAATCAATCAGTCAAGGAATCAATCAATGGACTGACTTGTATCCTCTGAATAGATTCAGAACTAAATGATGGAAATTCCTTGGAGGATGACCTAGCATCTCTTGTCTCTCTATTGGATTTGGGAACCAATGTATTTAGTGAGAATGAACAAAAAAAAAGGAAAATCCAGCAGAAAGACAGTTGAGCTCATTATGTCCTATGCAGATCAGCTGAATATGTGACACTTTCTAGGCCAAAGGCCTCTATTTTCCTGTACCACACTGATTCAACAAAGACCATTTAATCTTGATAAAGTTTAGACCTCAGCTTCTCCATCAAAGACTGTTTAATCATATTTTAGATAAGACTTTCCTTTTTTTAATTTAATTTTTGTCTGATAACAAATGCAAAGCTTTTTCCAAGATTTATTTTAAGTTAGATGATCTACACAACCAATCTTACTTCTTTTTCCATTTTGTAATTTATTTTAGCCCTTACCCCTCCTGTAAACATCTTCATCTTTCAAAGAGTAGAAGGAGCTAGTCCAAATGAGAAACTCTAGTCTCTTGGTTGTCACCATAAGAATATCTAAACTTGGACTGAGGAAAATGTAAGGCTTCGTAGTGTAACTGAGTCTTGCTGAAGTGGACAGCATCCAATTCCTTGAAAGACTTTAGTTGTTTTAAGCTCCCAGCTTGATTAGTGTCCCCTCTCCACCACAGTGATCTATGCCTTGCATTGTAATCTCAGGGCATGGACTATGAATGTTCAGACTTTTTCTAGAATGATTGATCATTCATATTTATAGGCCTGTCAACTACTGGGTTTTGAAAAGGTCAGTATTGATTATCAAGACCATTCAGATGGAATTCTCTGTTACTGTACATAAATATGACTTCCTTTCATGAGACTGCTGTGATTTTTCAAGGAAGGCGGGATGAGAATAGGCATTCTCATAAGTCAGGCAGTGGGGCTTTAAACTAAAAAACAGAGATGTAGTCACAAGATTTTGTCATCAGCAGAGTCATGCTTTAGAGGAGCTAACATATTTCCTCTGTCCAGGGAGCCACACACACACAGACACACACAGACACACACACACACACACACACACACACACACACACACACAAAACAAAACAAAACATAACCAAAAAACCCTATGTTTTACAGATGAGAAAACTATTCCTAGCAGTAGGCATAAGTTGATAAACTATGGTACTGATATCATTTCCCATTAAGGAATGGGAAAGCTATGTGTCAAAAGGTGAATAGTTGTTTCATCTGGGTGGTAGATTTTGGACTAGTGGGTGAGGCTTTTTTCCTTCTCTGTACTTTCCAGTTTAAATGTCCGCTTTAAATCACCTATAATATTTTTTCAATAAAAATGGATAATATTAAACCTACTTGAATGACACATGAGTGAGCTGGAGGTGTGAAGACACTTGTTGGTGAAGAGGGAGGCTACGTTCTAAGAAACTTTGCAAGCACAGGATAAGTCCAGGCTGACCTGATAGCCGTCTCTCCCCAGTCTGGTACATTACTGACTGACATTGGGTTCCTTCTTGTTTTTTTCTACCCCTTCCCTAAACTCTTAGAGTTTTTGGCCACTTCAGCCTGCGCTCCGAATGGCAGTTGGTGAAAGTGGACTACAAGTCTATCTTCAGCCGGCGGTGCACCAAAGAGGACTATGAGACTTGGCACCTGCTCAATCAGGTACACGTACAGTAGGGTGTGCTGGCCTACTCCAAGCTTGATTTAGTTTTTCTGGTCTTATTGTTTTGGGAAGAAAATAATGGGTCATTTGAACACATGGATGTGAATTTAGGTAGAACAATTTTACATATCCAGTCCCAGCAGCAGGAGACGACATGCGTTCTGGGATTCTATGTACTCAATAGGTCACTGAACTCCCTGGGGGAGAAGGTATGATGATAATCTAAGGTTTCCACTTAACCTGCAAATAAGTGAGTACAGGCAGCTATGAGGCCCCCTATGGCATGCTCATCTGCCTTGCCAATATGTGGAAGGTGAGAGCCTGTCTCAGGCCAGCTTGAAGTAAGGGCCTGAGTGCACCAGAAAGAGGATTGCTGAGGATGCAAGGTAGATGTGTCTAGTGATGGCAGATATTTATTACTATGCAGTATAGGCATTCTTCTGCCTTCTTCCAAAGCTTTGGATTCTTATAGTTTATACCAACTCCTCTTTATGTCCTTGTCTAGGATCAGGACTTGAGTATAGCCATTTATCACAAAGAGGGAACTTTTAGGGTCAACCTCGAGTTTACTGTGAAGATGATATGAAAAACAAAACCAGTATGCCAGAAGTAGACTTCTGTCACTACTTCTGTTTCTGGAATCACTGGAACAATGGCATGCTGGTCTGTAGGAATTCCTGGAGTCTTTGTGTTCTGTACAGAGATGGAAAAGAATTATACAATGATATAAACATCACAGTACAGGATGGGGAGCAGGGGTCCTGGACCACCTATTCACAGTGCTCCTTTCATCTGGTGGGAAAAGATTAGCACTTTTGTTGTTGAAACTCTTGCATGGTTACTGGAAATGAGACTTCTTCAAAGAATACTAAAAGCCAGTGCTTCCTGTTGACCAACTGGTTTTTTTCTTCACCTCCTGTGTGTTTCCTTGCTTCTCTCACGATGGACCTTTTCTCTAAGGGAGAGCCTTGTGTCATGGGAGAAAGGAAAATATTCAAGAAACGAAAGCCAGGTGCACAGTGTGCCTTGAGCAGAGACTACTCAGGCTCCGTGGTCTCAGAACCTTGTGTCTGTGCTGACTGGGACTTCGAGTGGTGAGTCCTTTGACATTTCATCACCAATTCCAACCCGATGCTCACCTATCTGTGGGTAGGGGTGAAGATGGACTTAGTGAAAGAAAGCATGACCAGGTACAGGAGGTGTGTCTACTTTCTTAGTGACTGGGCCAGGCCGGAAGTCTGTGCCAGTGGAAGGAGGAAAGGATGAAGCATTTTCATGGGGGAAGATTGCTGTTATATCTGAGCAGGGATCTTTACCTCATCCCCTTATCTTCAGTGAGGAGTTAGTCATCTCCCTATCTTCAGTGAGGAGCTAGATTGGACAGCCCTGGAGGGATGGGGCTGGACACTAATATGGCTTAGAGAGTGACTGCTGTGGACTGTTACTTTCAGACACAGTCACTCAAATTGTGTTTCAATGTGAACGCTCTGTCATTTCCTCATTTTATTTTTGACATAATGTTATTATATATTTATAAGTTATAGTATGGTAATTTATAAATGAATAACACTGTGAAATGACCAAACCAAAGTAATTAGCATTTCCATCTGCTCAAACCCTGTTGAATTTTTGTGGTGGAAATTTTTGGACTCATAGTTGTTGACTACAATTCTGCCTCTGATGACAATGAAACAGAGAACAACTTTAAACCTCATGTCTGGAGACTTAATCTTACCTGTAGCCAATCTCACATCTAGCCAATGACTCTCAAATATCCAAATATTTACCTCCAGCCTCAGTGTCCTTCTTTCTTAGACAGATAAGTGTCTATCTTCAGTGTCTTGATTTTCTAGGAGAGATGGCCAAGCAGAACTCTTCTTGAATCCCTTGCGTTGGAATATGATCTTGACCTAGCTTTTCCAGTTTTCCCAAAACACAGAGCCATCCACTCAATGGCTGTAATAAAAGTCCCAGGAGGGCTTGACTTCTTTTTCCTCTGCCCTTAGATCTCCATCATCCATAAATCCCTTCAGGTTCTACCTCCAAAACATTCACCCTAAAGCACTTCTATTCATACTCACAGATGTTTTTTATCACACCCAGTCTACCAGCTCTTCCTCCACTCCCTCTGTTATTACCCTAAAGTTCATTTCCTTCACAGCAACCAAAACTCAAATCAGATCCTATTACTCCTACAGCTAAGATCCTCTGGTAGATTCATCTCTTAAAATATTACCCCGTCTTCTTCTTTGGCTTGCTCCGTCACAGACCATTTGGCCTGGAATCCTTTTATGTCTAATTTTTTTCCTCTTCTTCCTTTATTCACTTTATTTCAGTCACAGGACCAACTCCAGTACTTAATCCAGGCCCATCTGTAGAACAGGAATGGAGAATCCAAGGATTTCTCCCAAATCTCAGCATGACTGGCAACTTTGAGTCATTTAATGTTTCTGAAAAACTGTGAGCTTCTTTGAAATGCTTGGACCACCTGTCTCACCTACACCCTGACACTCTACAGCATATTTACTTCTCTGCGGTTTTGTCTATTGTTGAATTCACCATATGAAATGATCATGTTTCTTCAATGTTTTTTGATCATATGTCTTTCCAAGTAGACTGTGGGTTCTGTGAAGGCAGAAGCTTTAGGCTTCCATCACTGTTAAAATCCCAGGGCCCACACCTCATTAAACACTCAAGAAAGAGCTGTGGCATGTGTCTATGTTTCTGAATGTTGTTCTTAGGAGTCAAAAAAAAATCTCCAATTTTGGGACCATGTGACTGTCACTCTGATATCAGCTAGAGGATTTCTTCCTGTATTTCAGTCAGAAACTGGAGTTCACATTTATAATAGATACTGCTCATCCTGGCTTAGGTTACAAAGTTAAGAGCTCAAGCATCAGCCTGGAGACAAGAAAGGGGTGGGGGGCTACATCAGAGCTAAATTTGGGATTCTCTGTTGTAGAATAGTGGAATAAACTCAAGTGCACAGAGCATTTGTTCCAGAACAGCAGTTTCCCCCCCAATCCTCGATTTTTCTCGCTGGCTATGATCTGTCTAGAAGTCACAATTTTATTTCCTGCTTCTACTGGCCATATAACTAATAAATGAAAGTCACATGGCTGGGGTGACCATTCCTGCTTCCCATCTGTTCTTCATCTTGGAAAGCCTGTCTTAAGTGATGTTCATCAAAATAGGATGTACTAAATGGAATTTAAATTTCTGCAGTAGAACTGACACTTTGAAAACAAGAATACTTTCACATTTCAGAAAATAATATTTAATTATTAACCAGAGCCCACATATAATCATACCAACTGTGCAGTAGTAGTCCACTCAGAAGTATGAATGGCTATTATGTTACTAATTTTTCTCACTGCTGTAACAAAATACCTGACAGAATGAAAGTTAAAGGAAGAAGGACTTTGGGGACTCATGGGTTAAGAGGACACAGGAAGACATGGCAGGGCTGAGTGCAATGGGAGCATGTGGCTGGCCCTCTTCACATCTGAGAAGACCAAGAAGCAGAAAGCCAACAGGAAGTGAGACTGTGGTTTAAAAATCTTAAGACCCACTCCTGGTGACTCACTTCTTTCAGCAAAGATCTACCTCCTAAAGTACAGGAGCTCTACCAGCTCAGGACCTACTGTTCAAATATACCAGCCTATGAGGGACATCGCATCCAAAGCCTCACAAATAGCAACTTAAGGTTGCTATTCAGTTCAAACTGAATCTCAGACTGCCTTGTGTCCTGCAGATGATGCGACTGAGGGTTAAGTGACCCCTATAGGATTTATATCAGATAAATCAGAGCTATTTAAATATGTGCTGTTTTCAGAGTAGTATCTTTGGGTGTTATTTGTTTGTTTTAATGCTGGTAATAATGCTTAAAGTATTTTTGAGCCCTTCTTTGGGACCTGCTGTCAGAAATTACCTCTAAGCAAAGCTCATTGTGGGGAAGGGGAGGGAAGCCCTTGCAAGACCTTCTGTTGTTCTCACATTTGTGTTAGGTGGAGATTTCACCTATATTCAAGACATTTTGATGTCAGTATCTTTGTTATTGCCATTTTAATAAGGAGCAAACTAGAAACTTACATGTAAGTTGCCTGATCATAGTTTCTAAGTGGTAGATAAAGAGCTGGGCTTCAAACGCAGAACTAGCTAATCTCATGTCAGCTCTTCTACAACATCCGCTCCTTAGGAAACCAAGTATGTCCAATTATTTGGGATTTACTTTATGTTTCAGAAGCCATAGGTTCTCCATATTTAGTTCCTTTAAAATTAAGACTCATTTCCAAATGATCCAGGTTTACTGCTCTAGATGAAATTTAGACAGACTGGTTCACTAACTTTAAAGTTGTTTTCAAATAAAATATTTTTGACCTTTGGTAGTGGAATTGTGCAAGCTGACCTTCCTTATAGAGTTTTGATACATAAAGTATTAGATGCTTATATTTCTATGGTCAGTCATGGCTCTTATTAAAAAGAAGGAAGAAATTCCTTGTATTAGTTAATTTTCGGGTGCTGAGATAAACATTATGACCAAAGGCAACTTAGAGAAAAAGTGTTTACTGGGCTTACAGTTACAGAGGGGTAAGAGCGCATCATGGCAGGGAGGCAGGGCAGCTGGAGGCAGAAAACTTACATCTTAAGCACGCACAGGAAGCACAGAGACAAACTGGAAGTGATCAGGACTATAAAAGCCCACCCCCAGTGACATGCTTCCTCTAGCAAGGCTGCACCTCCTAAACCTCTTCACATAGAGCCAACAACTGGGGACAAAGTATTCAAAAACTTGGAGCCCATGAGTGGCATTTTCATTCAAATCACTACACACTTTGAGGGTAAATAAAAAGGGGAGGCTTGATGCTGCTTTCTGACAGTAATCAGAGAAAAGCCAAAAAATTCATGACTTAAAATGTATGCTTCTCTGAGAGACTGCAGATAATAAGATGTAAACAGTAACACCTCGTGAGTACAGTTTAGCTTCATTTAGCTGTAGCTTTACTCAGCATGACTGTAGATAAGGATAGCAGCAATCATTGGAGCTTAATGAACACTTTAAATAAGTACCAAGCCCCCCCTCTTTGTTCTGTTTATTTTCAGGGATACCATTTAATTTAATTGTATGATCTGTCTGCACTCAGTTTATCCTTCTCAGATCTCAGCCCCAATTATTGTCAGAAAACCTGGTGAGTTGTTTTGAACAGGACTGTTTCCCCTCCATACTGCCCAAGAGCACTGCAGTGTTTTTCATAATAAACTTATGAACTAAGAACTGAGAAAGTCAGATTTTCATTGTATCAGTGGTCAAGACCGATGCTGATTATTAATTGATCAATTGATCCATTTTGGAATTTGTAGAATTCCAGGTTAAAAAAAAAAAACAAAAATCAAGACCACTGTAAAAAAAAGTATGCTACCACTGTCTAGAATGGAAGAGATGGCATTTGGTGTCAGTCCCTGGCTTATGGATAGTGGTCTGGGGGAAAATATTTGAAAGTTGGTTTTTGTTTGCTTGTTTTTAAGTCAGTTTCAATAAGCACAAACACTGGCTTTAAAACAGAGTATACTTTGCATCAAATATAGTTTGTTTAATGCTAACCTAGAAATCAATGCATGGCAATGTTTTCATAACTGACTCCTTCCCAGTTATCCTCCCTCCCAGGAGATGTTAGCTGAAGTATCTAGACCAGCCAGTTCTGGCCATTTTCCTGTACATTCCATTTAACAGTTTCCCTGAGCAGAGCAGAGCCTGTTCATCTGATTAGTCCAGGTGAAGTTTTAAGTCTCAGAATAGCAGAGAGAACATATAATTAACCTACTTTCAGCAGTTTGGGGAAATTGTTGGGTGGGGATGGTGAGGTGAATATCTTCACTTTGGTGGGGAGTTAGGGTTAGGGTTAGGGTTAGGGTTAGGCACAACCTGGGTTTCCAAAGGGGAAGGTAATTTCCTCTTGTGTCCCAACTCTGCCTAAAGAGAGAAACGTATGGAGTCCTAGAAGCACATAGCTGCAGAACAAGGTATCAGTAAAAAGTGCAAACACCATATAATCATTGAAGTTTCAACTTAGGAACCTGACAGGTTCCCAGTCTC